TCAATGTATAGATCAACCCCTTCTTTGCAATTCAAAATTTTTTGGCTTGGAAGATAAAAAAGATAAAATACAAATTAAAATAGGGTAAACAAGTCAGTGAAAAATTTTTTCTGTCTCTTAGTTTATTTGCACTGTTCAGTCATATTTCTTTGCTGTAAAAAGGAAAAATCAGTTTGGCGTTGAATTGTTTTCCAATACTGATTTTATTTTACCTTCTGTTTCTTATTTGTTTTTTCTATATCCTTTTCTTTTCGTTCCTTAATTTTTCAAGTGATTTCTCGAGTTTGCTATCATTTGTTAATGTTTGACCAAGTTTCACAGAACAATAATAGAGGTCTTTAATAAGTATTTATGTAAATTTTCATTACCGCAATAAAGTAGAAAAGAAAAAATTAAGAGAGCATGACTTTTCAATCTTTATTTGCCAGATGTTTTTCTTTTTTTTTGCGGCTTTTACATATCTCAAAAAAAGCAATTAAAGCTTCTTGAAACGCATCTCGTGCTTCTTTACTTTTTGGCTGCAAAAATTCTGAAAAAAAAAAGTCAAACAGTTTTTTAGAGTTCAGCAGTCTTGTTTTGGGGAGTAAAAACGAAAAAAAACATTGGTGAATTTATGGCAGTTTCTTTAAAACTTCCCGTCATCGATTATCCGAATGCCCCATGAAACTATCATGGAAATGAAGTCGCCATTTGCATCCGCAATTTCTAAACGCAACGTTTTAAACTGAAATGCACATAGCGGACTCCTAAATTCAAATTTTCTAACAAACGCTTACTTTTCTTCACCTCTTCATTCTTCTACACAAGCTTTACCTAAAATATATTACTGAATACTCCAATAACAATTAGTCGCAAGAAAATATTTTGCTTTTTCGCTGTATCCCGAGTAGGTGGGGACGACTGGTTCTAAATTTACTGATTTTTGAAGCCGTGACCTCCAGTAGTACTGGAGACTCTAGGTCGACCCAGTTAAAGATGCAACTGAAATTTTTGACAAACTCATTGTTTCACAATAACTACCACGTTCCTGATTGTGTCACCAATGACTAAAATTCCATGAACGCTAAGCTAAATAAAGACGTTCGAGATGAGGAAATTATTCCTCCGAAGCGCACTAAAGACCGAAATATTGAACAAAAAATATTTCAAATTCAATATGATTCATACATATCAGCGTTTAAACGAGGTCGTTAGAGGTGCTATTATCTACTGTAAAATTTCACGGATGTTTGGAATATTAGGAGTAAGAACGCATTTATAATTACCTAAATCATTTTCTGAACACTAAACAAATAGTACTTCTCAACCACACCGGTTTCAACAACCAGTGCACCCCCAGCCCCGTAACTGGAAATCATAGCTACTACCTTTATCACAAACCATGTGGAAACACGGACAGTAATTATCCTTCAAAAATGACGCATGTTTGAGGCAATAACAAGTTAGTAGTTTGGAAAGTGAAGGTTGAAAATTTTTTGTACCATTGGACTAAAAGAGGAGAAATTTAAGAAACAAATCAGCTTTGTTTCGCTGTTAAAAGTGGAAACAGAATGAGGAAAATATATATAAAATTAGAGGAAAAAAAGTTTGACTTTTCTTTTACTGTTAACTGCAGAACTCGCACGGTCAAAATGATTAAGACATTAGCGGAAATGATATCAAACCTTCTAATCTTCTATTGAACCTTCTACAGTTATGATTCTATTAATGCCATCTTTATTGACACTACTGCTCCATTCTTGACAAGTACAAGGCCCAAGTGGTTTATAAATCTGATTTGTGGTTTTCCCTTACGCTCGATCTAGCTCTGGACTTCATCCACTAAATGGAATTCTATGGATAAGCATTAAAAATCGTTTTGGTAAGACAGCAGCTCACTTCAATATATCAGACTTTATCAGTAAGACATTACTATTAATATAGAAGTTGTGTAGAGTATACGTGTCCGTTTGATGGCCCACAAAATTGCTACGTGCTTTATAAAGTTTTTGGCTTAGGGATTCTTCGTTCCAATATATATAATGGATGCGCCATAAATAAAAGAATCCATATTGGATGAATCTCCTGCTGAGGTCTAACCTCCATTGTCAAAAACTGAATTTGCCTATCTTACCCTGCCCATCTGAAGACTTTAAATCAGTCTGGACATTAACTGAATCAATTACGAAGCGCTGTTTAACCGTAACAAAAACTTTTTGATGTTATTTTCCTTCTTCACTTTTTGATCGGATATTGTTTCCCGTTCGGATAAAACATTTATGGAGCCACATGTAGATTTTGGTCGCCTTCCTGCTGCAATTTTCTTTTCTCTACTAGAATCTCCATAAAGCAAAGGTAGTTAACAGAAGGTCTTAAAATTTAGCCATTAGCTGTTTGCACTTCTGCAGTTCTAAAGCAGTTGTCGCACTGCGTGACCTCCCAACCACTCATCGCCTCCACTAAGCTACAGGCAACTATTCATTATGTAACTAACTGAACTAACTCGCTTGTTCTGGGTGATTTCTACTGCCACATTAAGATTCATTACAGATTGTTCAATTTCTGCCTGACATCCCACATGTACAGCCAAGCTGCTAAATGTTCTGCGGCCTTTTAAGGAACAGTTGCAGTTTAAGATTCTTGTCTGTTACCTGGCAATTATTCAACTCGCAATCATTCTGCTTCAAATATTCATCCTGCGCAATAGAAACTGCAGAAACTAGGAAATTTGCAGATCGCAATATTCTGAGTCATCTTCGATTTTCGTTAGTGGCCCGTTGTTCAAGACTTCCATTTGAAATATGCTAACTGTTCTAAGTTCCGATCAGTTAACGATTTTCTACCGTTGTTCCTGCCAATGTTTGTTCGACCAAATCCATGGCTCCTTCGTGCAGGCCACCTTTCCAAGCGGCAGGAGCAGCGACAAGTTTTCGAGTCATTTAATTCGTGTCAGCCGCTACTTTAAATTGGATAGTGTTTTTTGTTCGCGGCCAACCTCTTAAAGCTACAAACCGCTTAAACGTATGGATAAATTCTTGGCCATTAAGCAGGGATTCTGGGTGAATGGCTCTGGCTGACGGGTATGTCAGCAAGCATATTCGCATTTGCTTTACTATAGCTTTCTTTTTTACTTGTAATGGCCATAAATCCTACTCCGATAAGCCCAAAAGTTTTTTAATGTGTCATTCTTCTTGCTGGTAGCGCTAACATTAAGGGGGGAGGGGGCTAAATTGCTTTGCATCTCACGTTCTACATAAGTCTCCTTTGACACGTATTCTGACGTTCCCCTCTGGCTTAAATCATTCATCGAAAGACTCTTCCGAGAGCTGATCACAGGTGGTAACTTTATATCATCAAGTGAGTTTCACGATCAAGTTATAGAGGATATGCATAATTACAGAATCCTTTGTAAAATGGTGCCCAAAATTGCATAAAACCTATGCAAACCTTCCTCATCGTTAGTACCTTCGGAAAGGAGCAGAAAGTTTGTATGGAACTTGATTTATTTCAACTGACGTTACTGTTCGCTCTTAGTTTTAAGGTTTTTCTGCAGTGCTCTTTTTTTAAAACACTGTGCTTCAATCCAGGTCCTTCTCTCGCACTATCCGCTGAAAATAACGCCTTACATATAACTAGTTCTCATTTCCGGACAAGAACTAGCTATCAGAGCAGCACGCGCGCTGCACTGATAGCTTTTCACCTCGGATATGCAGAAAATCAGCTACTGCTTCTTCGGTCTTCAGTGGAAGGTAAAGACAAAACAGATGTTTGTGCAGGTGCTGCCAGTCTTCATATAGATTTCAGTAATTACTTTTGACTTCTGCTGGTGAGCCTAAACGATCTGCCTGAAAAACGACGAAACTCTGAAAAGACGTGATGCAATAGGTTTATGCCCGACCGCGGAGCACGCAGATCTTATCACTTTTTGGGGAAAGCTGAAAGAATTGCAAGAAGCAAAGTAATCGTTTCTAACTGGAGTCAAAACTTTCTGCTGATTTTTGCTGCTGCCTTACTGAGTAGTAAAATATTTTTTTCACAATGTATTTTTCTAAGAAATATGCTGTTTTTTACACTTTTAAACGGCAACTTTTCAGAGGCTAGCCCAATGTCTGAAGTATGGAGTTTCGACCGTACACTATGGATTTGGCGCCTCGTAATTCCAAATTCCGCATTACTAGTAGGTTCTCTCGACGGTGCGCAACTTTGCGAGGATACCAGGTGTCATGGTTTTTGAGGCGGAGGTTTTCAAAGAGTATTGTTTAGTAACCTCTCTAGCGGTGCCGCATCGTTTAAATCCCTTTCAGAGGCGAATTAAAATAAGTTTTGTGCAATCAACAAATCTGTACTTGAGATTTAGAGGAATAAATTATACAGAACTACGGGATGTTAGAAAAATTGCACTCTTCATATTCGTTACTCTCTTACTAGTTTCTGCTATCGCGTCTAAAGCCGACAAAAAAAGGCTCATTTCAAATCATTCAACTCGGAAACTGAGGAATCATAAAGTCTTAGTAACCCACTGCACAAGATGATGCCTCTTCCCCTGTTTCGTCTCTGCGGTAAATGTACCACACAGGAATGCAGAGGTGGAGAATAACATGTTCATCCTGTCCAACAAAATTTATCTGGAAAAAAAGTAGAAAGCTGATAGGGACTGTTTTCGTTTCCAGGATTGAATTTTGGCAAGACCTAAATTCCGTTCCCTACAACTGCTTGCCTAATGTTCTCCTGTCTTTTAATTAGTTGCTTCTTTCTTTACTTCCCACATTGGGCAGTAAACCCTTTACTTGCTCTCTGCGGTCGCTCTTCACGGGAGCGATGATAGGAGTCATTTGCTTCGGCGGGAAGTGATAATAAATGTTATATTGGGACACTTAAAATAACGTTTGGGCTATTTTCTAAAAATCTATCTCTGCCTAAATTAGAATTTACGGCAAAAGTGCAGTTAAACGTGCCCACCTCCAAACGCAAATCTTTTTAACGGTCAAGTCACCTTCGCTTTCTATATGCGGAGTTTTCGACCCTAATTCAAGATTCATATGTATAGTTTTCGATTTTTATATATGAGCATTCTCATAACTTTTCAACGGCACAGTGCTACAGTTCCGTTTTAATTTTCGTGTTGAGGGCTGGGTACGCTTAGCTGCCTTAGCACGAATTCACAATATCACACGGCATTACCATAGCCTAAAAACAAGCTTATTTAACTACTGTTTTTTAAAATAGGATGCACAAATAAGCAGGAAGTAAAAGATAATTCACGGTAAACGCAGTCAATTATTCGCCACCTACAGCAAACAGCTCATTTGCTATCTTGTTTTCCTCCCACTCAATATCCCTCTCCAAAGACCCTGAACAACAGCCTCT